AGAGTGCATGCATGGCATGCATTTAAAAACAGAAACAAAGAGTCAAAAAAACCACCCTCCACTTAGGAATATCTTTTGTCCTCAGCGCAGACAGGAAAGCCATGTATTTAAACCTTGGATGTCCGAGATGTCTAAAAGTTTCACAGAAATTCATTATCTCAAAAAACTCCAAATGATTAGGTAAGAGATAAATCCTTATTTATATTTCTGATAATTACCTGTTAAGATAATGCCCACAAACATCCAAGCACAAAGAAAGAGGTTTCCTGCACGAGGACTGTAGTTTGTTGTGAGCTTTCCTTGAACAAGGGTAAAGATAATTCCAAATATCTACAAACAAATAAGTCACTTCATCAGTATCACTCAGGGAAGATTCATCATTTTATCTTGCAAAGTTTCAGACTGCATCTTATAGAAACCAAATAAAAAATGAAGACTAGAGCAATATAGTGGGGACTTAGCAGCCAAATCTAAGAAAGACTTCTTAGATTCTAGCAGAGTGGCCTTGCTGAACATTACTTCACTTGAAGAAAGAAACATGATAGAACCTGTGCTGATGCATTAAGGAGCCCTGATGAAGTGCCTTCAGACTCTGGGTACGTAATTTCCACAGCAAATTCAAACCCAAGAGGGATATAGCCAGTCATGAAAAACCTGTTGAAGAAGAAAATAAGTGAACAACAAGTGTGGATTTCATCTATTATTATGGCTAAGAAAATCAAACATAAACATGCGGTACTCTGAACTAGCTGTTAATCTGAACCATCTGCTTTCAAAACCTAATTCAGGATTCAGGTCTTGAATTCAGCCCTGATTCAGGATGTGCTTTGCCCTGCCGCATTTCCCTGATCTCACCCAACAGTTTCAGCCATACATCTTTCTTTTAGGACAAATACATTTTAATATATTTGCCCTGTTTCCCAGAACCAGCTGCATTCCACTCCACACACGTGAAACAACCCTCCCAAACAAGTCCACAAACCACTGCATAATTAAAATTAAGTACTTTCAGATAGAAGACATATGTGAGCATCATCGTTTTTATCTATCTAAACATTCATGTTACATGGGGAAGAGACCATCAGTAGAAGGGGTGGCTGGACATGGGAATGGAACTAGAAGCTCCTCTGGAAGAAGCTGAGAGGACTGACGGGGGTGAGGAAAGACAGGGGCTTAATGCAGCTGAGGTTGGTTGGTTGGATGGTTGGTTTTTAAACTGAAACTCACAAGACTTGTTTCTGTCACTACCTTGCCTGCCCTGTCTAGGTACAGCACTACTCTCTCCTCACCTTTGGTTGTTCTGGATTACATACCTTTCAGGACAGTGACGCATGTTTTTCTGAATTGACAAAGCACCAAGCAGGCTGCTTGGGCTATCAAAATGTAAATTAATCCACATGCACAGAAGCCAGTCTTCCTAAATTTGCTCCATTAGATCCTAATTACATATCCACTGAAGACAACAGAAGGATTTAACTTTATTGCAGCGGACTTTTTGAATTGGAACCAAACAAACTGGCCATACATACACTTCTGTTTAGTCAGTAAAAATTTTAAATGAAATTCACTAAAAATTAAATTACTTTAGATTTATGTTGCTGTAACAGAAGGCGAAACCTACTAAACTGTATCTGTACTATAAGACCTAGACATATGTTGAGAGTACGGCACCAGAATATACAGTAGAATCCTTTAGCTAAAATAGCCATTCACTTTTTACATTATTACGGGTATTGTTTGTGAGCAGAACTGCAGTAGGTCTTCTAGTCCTCTTTAATAGCTTACCCAAGTACTCCTCCAGTCACAAACACTACTATAAGGTATCCAAGATCCAGGGTGAAAGTAAATACCACCATCCCAATAAAAGAGAGAATGTAAACAATCAAAGTAGTTTGCCTGCAACCCAACAAGAAACATATACACGCTGTTAACATAAGGTCATAGCACTTTGCTAAAGCATCGAAAAGTCATATAAACATTACTTACTCTCTTTATAACTGATATTCTGCAGTTGTGAAATTTGCTTCATGTGATTCTGATTCAAACATATCATGCATTTCCATGAAAATGTATCCCTTCCCCAACTCCTTATTCCCTTAGTTATACGGCTGCTTCACACGAGGCTAAGAGAAATTCTCAGACTCTTTGAAATTGATCACATCAGATACTATTACCCTGAGGCTATTTTAGTTTTCCGCTACACTATTACCTCTCAGCCATCCTGCAGCACAGACCATTACACAAAAATCAGATCAGCAGTCAAATCAAACGTTATTGGCGCTAAAAGTCTGCCTAGAGGCAAGCCAAACAAATCTCATTTGGATGTTTTATTTATATTAAATCTGGAATAATGGTTGTCATCTAAAAAAACCTAAAACACGTATCATTTATTTATAAGCCAAACCACATGCAGAAATAAGGCCAATCTAGAGCATTAACGTCCATTAGGCTCCTAGAGCCCTTGCACATAATATACTATGAGTCATTAAGGGAGAACTTTGCCCAGAACTCATCCTTGCGTTCACACCGGGGCACCGCCCGCTCCTGGGGGCACCACACCGTAGGTGAACTACCCTGGTGCTCCTACCCCAAAACAGAGTTCTGTTCCATCGACATCTCCTGAATTAAAGCAAGTGTTATGCTTATTAAAAGGCCCAGGAAGAGTACAAAGAACGAGCGTTAATTGTCTGTTTCACAAGAAAACGCAGAGTGGGTTTTGAGCCTTTCTGTGTCCCCTGGCGAAGAGGCCAACCAAGCCAGCTGGCCACTGTATATAGGACATACAAGGCTTTTCTTGTTAGCATTATACTCCCTGCATGGCCAGGAGTAGGTGGAAACCTCCTTCAGATCTTTGTATTCTCCACAGCACACCCTCTCTCAGTTCTTTGGGCCAAGAACCAACATGAGAGTCTCAAGATCCGGCTGTGGCCTCGGAAACTTGCCTCTGTCAAGGCTGCTAAAAGATCAGGGACTTGCTGCGTTTTATCATCAGTTCACTTCTTCCCTTACATTCCGTTATTTTTCTAACACAGAAGCACTGTTTTCCTACCCCTAACCCCATACATGCCTACCCACACTTACTTGTATGTTTTAGTGTAATCCAGCCACAAACCACAAATAATCGAACCCACCATTCCTGCCACCACCAGTGTCAAGCCAATTCTCCCAGCGTTCACTTCTTCTCCCTTTCAACAAATATTTATATGGTGCTCATTAATAACTTGCTTCCACTCAGAGTCAAGTTCAGACCTCTTGGCAGTTATAAGCACAAACAAACATTCCTATGACTCCCACAGCTGTATGACGCAAGGTGCAATAAACCATACAGGGGTATAAAGGAAACCAAATGTCTGAGCACACACAGCACCTAAGTAACAAAAGACATCAACTCTGTAAATGTACAGTTAACAACAAAAAAAAAAAAGCAGTAAGAAGATGATCCGAGAAACTTACCTCATAATGAGTTACTATCATCTGGTTTAATAAAGTGGAGACAGAATAAAATGCCCCTGTCATAATACCTACAAAAACAAAATAAAATGATTCACCCTCTGTATTTAGCCACATCATTCAACATGTGTCAGGTAGAATTTACATTTGCATTATAAATATTTCCTACTAGATATCTCTGCAAGAAAACACTGCTTGCCCGGATTGTCTTAGACTTTTCTGATCCCAGCATCTCATCTCTCTGATCTGCCAAGGGGCAGTGTGAAAGGCATTACTGGCTGCTGGGAAGAACTAGATTACATCCCTAAAGCTGTCACATTCACTACTTCTGAAACTGAGAACTTGAGTTAAGCCATTCATACTGCAATTATTTTTTAACAGTAAGGTAAGACAAAACACAACTCATGATCCTTTTTTTCTCAGTAGAAGGTACAAAGGCCATTTCCCTTTTTTCCCCTAGATTAACTTCCTACATAACATGACTTCATATACACATTTAGTTTCACTGTACAGCCCCCTTCCCAAATCTGAGGAAGACTGGCATGCCTTTCACATCCCTAGAGACAGATAATCACCAAAAAAAATTACTTTCTTCATTAATTCTTCTTCTTACTTAGCAGGCCCTGTGCTACATTAAGTGGCATTAGTTCACTCAGCACTAGTCTTCCACTTCATTTAGCAGCTAGGACATATAGACCACATTTCAAATTTTACATTCAGCTACACTTCAGTCATTTCAGGTCTAGCCATGCCGATCTGCTACTACAAAAAGTCTTCTGATATTAAAGAGTGAAGTCAGGGGCAAAACCTTTTATCTACCAGGTAAAATCTCTTCTCCAGATCTGTAAATGGTACTTTAGATACTGCTAGGTTTTCCAGTACAGGCTGCTAAATAAGTAACAAAGGTTTTTGTTTAAAACACACACACACCCACACACCCCTAAAACCTAATATGCTTTAGGCACATATTTGGACTGTGCTGCCAGACTGCAGCCAGACATCACCACTTACCATAACTGATCAGCAAAAGTACAAATGGAATATTTTTGAATAAGTTAATAATCGATTGCTTGTAGGAGTAATCCTCAGGAGGCATAGTTCGAAGGACTGCTTGAGAATGACTAGGAGGGTATTTAGGCTTTTCTTCAAACACTGGGGAAAAACAAAAAGAAGAGATATTGATCCATCTTTACCAGACTAATGCTTTTCCTTTTGAAATGCAAAGCGTTTTAGTTTGACAGATTTCTTAAGATGGATTTTTAACACTTTTATAAAAATATTCCAGATTTCCCCAGAGGGGAATCAAGCCACAGCCACTAGCGATGGGCTAACTATTTGTTCCTATCTGACTGCTACCCAACATACCCTCAGAGATACGCTTCACCAGCAAAGCGTCTAGAACCTCAGTCTACCTTTGTATCTGAATTAAAAGAACTGCAGAAGGAATTTACATTATAACATAATGTCCTTCTGGTTGATAGCCAAAAACTAAGCGAATAGCATACCCTGAGAGGTTGTTTCATGTGAAGCATGACAAAGACAATAAATTGGCTGTCTCTTATCCCTGACACAACAGACAAGTGAACACAAGTACACCTGAGAAAATGTAACCTCAGTTATAGGCAAAAAGAAGAATGCACTAACTACCAAAGGCTTCCATCTCTTGTCTTCTACTATGTTCTTGTACTTTGAAGATGAAGGCTATGGTCCTTCCTGGTAAAATCTCTTCGCATCCTTCTTAAATATGAAAGGTCTCCCGTTACTGTATTCAGAAAAATAATTTCCCCAGAAATTTACCCAGAAGATAAGCGAGAGCCAAACCATTAAACACATCACCTAGTCCTTGTTTTTAGTATTTATTTTTATTTTCAAAGGGCAAAATTAGGATGATTTATTTCCCTTACTCAGCCACTGAAATTAACTGTCTTACATAACTGAGTATGCTTTCGGAATAAAACTGTTACAGACTTCTGAAGGACAAGGAGAAGGACAGGGACAGAGAGAAAGAGAGAAACAAAGATCGAGAGAGAGTCAGAGATAAGGATAAGGATAGAGACAGGGACAAGGATAAGGACAAAGATAGGGACAGGGACAAAGAAAGGGAAAAAGATAACAACAATTTGGAATTTCCTAATTGCTTGAAAGTTGTTATTGGTGTATTCAAAGTCACAACAGGACTGCTCTTCTCACACAGGCAGCAATTCAGATCACCCAGCATATCGGGCTACACAGATTCACCACTAAAGCACCACACCTTCTCAATGCGCTACAGAGGGAACCTGAAGATACCAGACAACCAGCTTGGAAGCTAAATTGGGTGCCTAGAGCAAGATGGTGTAATTACTCCCTATGGTCATTGTACTTATGTTATTATAAGAATGGCTCACTTACCAACTCCAGCTAAGAAGAAGAGAAGCGTGGATACTATTGCTGTTCCATAGAACATGATGCTTATATTATGTGCCATTAAATCAATGTCATTAGGTGTATTTGGAACCAAAACAGGCGGCAACAAAAAGCCAATTGCAGTGCCAAGCTGTAAAGCAAGAAAAGAAAATCAAAAATTATTTTCCTAAGAATATAAATCAACAAAAGCAAAGAACCTTACCAGGCAGAATGCAGAATTCATACTGTAGTCACTACTAACAAAAATTATGAAGGAAAAGCGCTCCTTTAGTGTACTAGTTATGAGCCATTTGCTCTTATTAACATTTCACAATTGGGTTTTCAACGACCCTGGTTTTCAACTCTTCATTTCTAGATTAAACTGCAATAATACCTTTAGGCACATTTAACTACGCATTAAGGAAGTTCTTTGTGCAAGAGTGTTTTCGCAGGAGAACATTTTGCACGCGCATTAATTTGTATCAGTCATCCTGTGACCAAAGGACTGAAAATGAGACAGAAGACTCTAGTTACTCCCGTAGAAACTCTCTTCTTTTTTTCTTCATCAAAATCTTGCATTTGACCTGACAAAACTGCCACTACAGAAATGAAGACCACTATGCAAAGTAAATTACAGAACTGATCAGGCAAAGAAGCACAAGGGAAAAGAAGTGCCTTCACTAAAGAAACATAAAAATAAACCTACAGCTCAAGTTATTGCTAAAGAAAGAAAGAAGAATCACGAAAAAAAGGAAGCAGTGTTTGTGTTTGCAGTTAATTCCAATGTAGCAACAGATTTTGTACTGAAAAAGACAAAAAATAAGGACCGAAATTTTGGCTATGCATAGAAAGCACCTGAAAACATCAAGGAACAAGTCTTAAACTTCTCTCTAATTTACCTCTGCTTTTCTGGTAAAAGTAAGCTGCATTTCTAAGTGTCAGGTCAATTTTTTCAGACTAGAAAACCTGCATATATTTCAGGTATGTTTTCAAGGAAAAAAAAAAAAAGATTGAAAAACAATTAAAAGTTAGCAAATTCATCACTCAGGAATTCTGTGTTCAAATTAGAGGTGTGCCAGTGAGCTTACAAAGTAACCTTTGTGCCTTATGAGATTTCCGTTGCTTTTTTCACAGGCCATCAGACTGACTCAGCATCTAGCACTCACCCGAACAATTCGTTTATTTTCATCCTCGCTCTTCGGTATGTGAACTTTAGAAATACCATGAACGGGGCACACATTTTTTTTTTTTCCTTTAGGTATGTTTTTTTCAATGTGATACAGTATAGTACCCACAATAATTCCAAGAAAGTCAAGTGACACCATTTTTCACTTTTTACAAAGGGAAAGCTAAAGCATAGCAGTTAAGCTCAGAAGGATCGAGAGTTCCAATGAGTCTGGTGTGCCCAATTTGAGATGCTAAATATTTTCAAAAATCAGCCACTCATGACAGCCCTTGACAAGTACATAGGTGCATTCCCAGCGATTCATGTTCCAACTGCAAACGATCAGCACTTCAAGGGGTAACGGGCGTGATTTGATTTTTGATAACTATTCTGTCCCTCCTGTCTGCAACCCAGACCGGCGTTTGCTATAGCTTCGAAGTTCTGCAAAACATCAGGTGCGTAATACGAGGACCAAGTCTCATTCATTGTAACAATCTGATTCTGCTATACAGCTAACCTTATGCATTTAGAGGAGCACAATGAGGCACGTAATTGAGGTCTGTATCACAATGCATACGCAGAAGGCAGCTGCATTAGCTTATATAGACCATATTAATTGTAGCAGGTTTTTAACTTTCAAGCACCTAATCTGTCATCTTATTCTTTCAGTCTAGGTTTCGAGAGGGTTTTTTTTCAAGAAAGCAAAAATTAAAAACAGAGAAATTCTATTGTTTGGCACTGTATCAATCTCCATGGGTCATAAGCAAGAGGAGGATCTTCGGACCTACAGCACAAGCTCCACAACTTGAGTTAACAGAGTACTGGCCAGCTGACCAAAATAAGCCATTGTCCTCTGTGCAGAAAAACCACCAGAGGAGAATGAAACCCACTTTGTCAGTGTATTTCACAGGTATTTCTAGGCGGCAGAGGACCACCAAGTACTTTGGGGCTCTAAGGTCATTCCTACTCTCTGCAGGGGAATGTGCTCCAGCAAGCAACCAAGCACACCTCTGCTACTGGCTTTTTTGTCCATCTTTCTCCTGCTTTCCATCTTCTCCACTCCTGGGCTTCTCCCCTCTTCCTTCACCACTTCATCCCCCAGACCTCAGCATCAGGACAGAGCACTGCTCTCAAGCTCCCAGCTTCCTCCCCAGCTGGGAGAGCTGTGGGCACCGCGCAGCAGAACTGAGACCACAGCAGTTCCTTCCTTGCTACTGGGAGGACTGCTGCCTGTCTCGATGAAGCTCGTGTGGACATCTTAGCTGTCAAAGAAATCTTTAGCCTGACTCCAGGAAGCAGATGCTAGATTTCTGCTGAACTGCTAAAGAAGGAAAAAAGAAAAAACTTCAGTCTAAAACGGGCAGCTGGTTTGTCCACTGAAGACTTCAGCCCAAAAAGAACTGTTTTGGAAAAAATGCTGGAAAATTGTAAAGAGGGATGTAAAAATAACAAGCGACCCTAACTGCCAATAGGCACCACCTCAACTTTAACAATCCACAGACAAACAGCAATCGATAGAATCACAAGAGAATAAACAAAACCTCTATTACCTTAACCAGACCGTACCTGAGGCCTCAGCCTGCACCAGCGAAGCTGATGGGAATTTTACTATTTCGTTGCCACAGAGAAGTGGGGCCAGTGGCAGGGAGCAAGAACAAGGCTACGGGGGGGAACGGACAGCATCTTCTCTGCAGGCAGCCCTTGCCCATACATCGGTGCCAGCTCTGTGGAACTAGGCCCGAGGACTTTGAGGACAGCTGTGGCAGGGCTCCGCTATCAGCTCCCCACGTGAATTATCACGCTGTTATAGAAAATGTCACGAGTCAGCAGGGCCGGCTCGGTCTATCGGTGCTCAGCCATGTGAGGCCACATTTTATTTTAAAAAAATGGTGGGGGGGG